GTACCCATTTGCATATGCATCTTGGTCACGTTTGGCCAAGGATGGGAGTTGCCTAGCCCTTCATCCTGCAGAGAAGGGAAAGATACTGCGGTGGTGGTGATGATGATGAATCTTCTGGTTTTATGTCCATTCAGCAAGAATAAGAATTTGATAGTTAGCCTAGAGCCTCTCTGAAAGTTGGACACACCTATATGTGAGGGAGGAAGTCTCCTAATTGTCCCTTGCCAGAAGTTCATCTTCCTTAATAATCAATGCACCTGCATTTCTGCACTGCCCATCTAATTACATTAGTTAGGAAGGTGGCTTTTCTGCTTCAAAGTGATAGCTGCTGCTCTCTGGGTCATTTTTATTTTTTTTCCCCTCTCTCAATTTCACACAGGTTAGTACGGCTGAGTAATCTCAGTAGTGTGGCTACTTAAAAGTAAGAGCAGTATAAGATTATGCATGACGGTGACAGGAAGTCTGCACCAGAACACAGTGTTATTTGGTTACCAGGGTGAACAAAAAGAGAATGCGCAGTTGCGCACTTAAGAAAGTAGGTGTTTAGAGACCACTCTGAGATGTCAAACTTGTCAGAGAAAATGGTGGTCTGGGACACAAGAACATTCACGTACTGTGTCTCATTTGGGAAAAATAGTTCTTGTGTCCATCCTCTTGTCCATAAAACAGGCCCTGTGTGGGTAGCAGAGCAGCGTAAGCTGGCCTGTAGTGTCCTATGAACGGTCCCACTTTTCAGGATGAGAAGACAGGTTAATCTCTTCGGCCCATTCATTCCTTGGCCTCTACTGAGACTGCGAACAAAGACTCCAGTTTTGGTGGGTTTTGATGTAGACATCTGTGCATGGGAGGCTGGACTGAAACCAGACTGGTTATTTTAGATAGGCATCTAAACAGCCCATCAGTTGATAACTACAAACTTTCAGTCACCACTGACCTAAAATCGATTTGAATCAATGACTTTTAGATAAAAGTTCATGGAACCCTTCACCAATCCCAGAGTCATCCAGTTCCTCATATTTTTAGTATAAGTTATATTTTCCCATCCCAGTTTCCCCTGTATTCTAGATAGACATTCTAGATAGACATATTTCTGATACCATCACATCCTTTACAGTGTCATTTAAATGGTTTTTTTCCCAGGTGAAATATTTAAACTACATAAAAATAGATGCAAAGCAGTACAGTTCAGAGTCCTCCAGTAACAGTTCTACTTCTCCTGTGTTCTCTCTGCAAATTGTCTTCTCAAAGCTAATATAGATTGAAGGTTAAATAGGGGCCTGGTTGGAGGGACTACTAAAATTTTTAAAATACTCCTATATTAAATGCAATTCAGCTTGTGGAAACATTTGTCTTCAGGTCAGTTTTCCTAGCATAAGGCAGTTATTGATTGGCAATTTCAGACTTACCTTGAAGATTCTCTCAGGGTTACAGTTTTTTGCAGGAACTAAATCCAGGCCTTATCAAAAGAGGAAATGATTCGCCCTGTCTTGAGTATTGGCTTTCATAGCAGTCAGGTTTGATTTTACAATTTGCAATGTCTGGCAGCTTATAGAGAATCTGATGGTGACCAGTAACCAGGAAGATGGGTCCTGGTTGTGAACAGATACAGACTGAAATATTTAAAGTTGTGAATCAAAGTGGAAGACACCTTCTCAGTTTCTCAGCATCTTCCCAGAACCTTCCTTCCTTCTCCCTGTTTTTTACCCAGGGATTTTAAAATACTTTATACAAGTTCAGCTTTGCAAGACTGCTGTGGAGTATGCATTATTATCCTCTTTTATAGATGGAAAAAACCAATACACAGAAGCCTGATTCTCCACTTTCTTCTACCTGTGCAAATTGAGTGTGAAACTGCAATGAAATCAGAAAAGTCATGTGTTTTATACTCATCTTTTACAGGTGTAAATGCTAAACCAGATGAAAGGTAGTGGAGAATCCAGTCTAGAGATAAGTGACTTGCCTACAGCTACACAGCAAATAATTTGTAGATGCTGAATAGAACCCAGGAGAGCTGATTCGAAGTCCCCTCCTTTAACCACTGATCAACATTTGTATATGGTCCACTCTTATTCCTCCTAATCTTATTAGTCCTAATGTTGTCTGCAGATTTTCCCTGGGACATATCCTGACTGTTTCCCCAATCATGGTGAAGTCAGTTTGGGTTTAAAGGCAATTGTGGGCGAAACTGGGCAAGTATGAAACAGCAGACATGCTTGAGGCAGACAGCAACATTTGTGTGTGTGTGTTTTCCTTACAGCACTGCAACTGTTTTAAACAAGTTCCCTTTTCTTTGCTCCAACATGCAGAAATATTCTGCATTGTGCTTAACACAGCAGCCTGATTTCACAAAGATTTCAGGCCTTGATTGCTCTGATAATGTAACAGAGAGAGAGGGAGACTGAAATTTTCTTTTCTGAATTTAATTTTGTTTGCTGCATCCTTCAGATTTGTCCATGACTACCATAAAGCTACCACCAGGTTACTCAGGTTTGGCTGTGTAGAAGATATAGATTTTGTTGATGTTTGCTCTGGATGAGTGCTTACACAGCACTCAGGAAAGCCAGTGTTTTCAAAAAGTGTCCTCTAAATATGGGTTTCTCCATTTCTGAGAACCGTCCATGAGATATTTTGGGCCTGATTTTCAGAGGTGGTGAAAACCTAAAACAACAAGAATCAGTGACTAGAACATGTGAAAACCTAGAGTGTTCCAAAGTGTGGGCCTATAAGCTCCTAAATTCTGTGTCCCAGAATGTAGACTCAGGGTAGAACCTATACAGGAAGCTTTGGGGCCAGTATTTCCTTTGGGTTTTCCAAAGTATAGCTCAGGAATCTCGAGGGGCTGTTCTCAGGACATACTGTCCTTTTGCTTCCTATTGTTCTCCTTCCTTTTTTGCTCCTTCCTTTCTTCACTAGCAGTTGAAGGGATTGTGCTCTTTCCAGAATCTCTACATTTGACACCTGTCCCTACTTCAAAAAGACCACTGTGTATGGTTTAGCAGAGTCTGAGGCAGGGAAGTGTCTTTTGTAAGTACAAATTAGCACTGAAGGGCAGATCTGCGCTATTTATTCTTTACCTTTAATTACACACTTTTCTGTCCCATTTTTTCTCTGTCATATAGGGCAACGAAGAGGGGCCAATGTATCCCTTTCCTTGAAGCCATTTTGCTGTGTGTTCTTTAAGCTTTCTTTCAAGGGATTACCTTATTTCTGCCAATAGGGAAGAATTTGGTAGTTGAAGCGGCTAGATGTAAAGTGTAGCACTTTATGCACTAACAAAGGTGACTAAACTTATGCCAGAGATGGTGGCAGAGTGAGGGCAGTGGCTTCACCAGATGTTACTGAGCATGCTCAGTCTGTTTGAGCATGCTCAGTCCAAGCCAAGCAGCAACTCCGGGGGGGGGCACATGACCTCATGTGTCCCCCCCACCTCCAATGCATCGCCTCTGACTCATTCCCTCCGACATCTGAGAGTGCAAGAAATAGGCGTGCTTCAAGTCTGCTAAACTGAGGGGCCCCTGGAGTCAGAGGGCTGGGTCTCTCTATTAGTGCGTACCTTTGATATAAAGGCACCAGGCCTGTCGCTTACTTTAGTCTCGAAAACACGTGTTCAAATTTAGTTTTAGAAAAGAGAGAATGTGTGTGTGTGTGTGTGTGTGTGTGTGCGCATGTGCGCAGAGCACACACACCCCGGCATGCCTCAGCAGAGAGAACTGGCAGAGCAAAACAGAGGGTGCTAGCATAGCAGTACATTTGCTAACATGCTCCGTATCATCTGGAGATAAAGAAGCTATTGTAGGGTCTCACAACAAATTTTTTGGTGGCCTCAAAGTGCGGCCACCAACTCTTGGTGGTGGCCGCACTGACAAATTTTTCCTAAAATACTTAATTAACTTTAGGTAAAACAAATAAATTTGCACATACACATGTCCAAATCATTCTAATTTATTGACTCTTTTTGTAGACTCAATAATAAAAACAATGTAGTTGTCTCTATTGTTTACTGAACCTAAACAGAATAGAAACACAAATAAGGTACTCTGCAGGTTCTTGTCTTTTTTGTTGTTGTTTCTTTTGCTTTTTTGGTTGCTTTTTTTAAAAAGACTTGCTAGCTAGTAAGTCTGCTGCTGTGAAAAGGGATATCAACAAACATACACATATCACTTTTCACATCAGCAGACTTACTCAGTCCTGGCAAGCCCAGGGACAAATTAAGCCTTGGATGGGGAGGTCAGTAGGGAGGATGTGGGGGACGGGGGTGGGGGGGAAACCTGACAGGCTGGCAGAGGCAGCAGGGGTCAGGGGCGATGGGGGTTGGAGCCCGGTGACCAGAGCTTGCTGCCTGCCACCCCAGGGAACTCACTAGCTGCCTGTTCCTCCAGCATTTGTGTTTCCAGAAGGGGGGTAGGGTCCAACCCATGCTGGTGGCCCTGTGGGAGGGACCACTGCTTTGCTCTCCCCTCCCCCAATCACTGGCGAGGAGGCTGTGGCCGCAAGAAAAGCCACTGGTGGCCACATTTGAGAAACGCTGTGCAGAATAGGTACTTCTTCAGAGTTTGAAAACTTCATGTTGGTTGTGCTGGTCTAGGGTAACATCATAAATATTACAAAACCGTGTTTTATTTTACAGTGATGGTCCAAAATACACCAGCTTACAGCAGTGCCACTGCTGTTGTGGATCTTTCCTGTAAGGGACTGTAGCATTTATTTATTTAGGTAAAGCTATTTTTCTGCTCTGTTTTTGAGAGGATTTATTATAATTCTCAGCATCTCACTTCCAAAGCCAGGCCTATAGAGGGCACTTGCAGTCTTAGGCAGGCAGGAATGGCTGCTTTCATATATTTACCCCATGAAGTCTCTGAGCCAGAGCTTTGCTGTTGCTAGGAATAGCAGTTCTAATGATATTTGCTTAGACACTTAATACCAGATACTCAATATACCTGGATTGTAAAGCACAAAGGCATAAATTGCTGAAGCCTTTCCCCTCCCCTTGTATTTTACAGTCCAACAAGGTTCCTGTAGTGCAGCCGTCCCACGGAGTCCATCCACTCACCCCACTCATTCCATACAGCAACGAACATTTCAGCCATGGCTCCCACTCACCACACCTGCCAGCCGACATCAACCAGAAACAAGGTAACTCTTATCCTACATAAGCTTATTGGGGCAGGGGTCCTCATGATGATTTAGAAGAGGGGGCTGATGCCGAAAATTGTTGAAATTAGAGTTGCTACATAGCCAGTGGTTCTCCAGCATGGCCAGATTCTTTAACCTATGTCCAGTTCAAAAAATAAAATGACCATCAAATTTGCAAACGCTGAGTGCAGTGAGCCATGGGCAGGTAGGGGCACGGGCTAGCAGGGGAATTTGCTTTGGATTTAGCTCCTTGAGGATGCTTTGCACTCATGGCCAAGAGAAGCTTGAACATCAAAAACTGTCTGCCTTGATCATCCATTTTGCTTAATTCTCCGTGTAATAACTCTCTTTGTAGCCTTAGAACAGACCAGAGTCTGGGGATGATTCACAAAAGTCAACCAGAAAATGGAAAGTAACCTTTCCTTTGACTCATAACCGAACAGTTGTCAGGTTGTCATTTTGAGAAAATAAATGCTTGAAACAGGAAATATTTTGACTAACTAGGATCTGTGTCTGGTGTGTAGCTGGATTTTTACAGTCCGCGGCTGTGCATATGTGGTTGTCACGCAGTTTGACTATTTGGGTTTCTCTTATTTGTTAATATAATACATAGCAGACAGACAATCATCTCAGGAAGGGTATAGAGGAAAGTACAATAAGGAGAGGTTAGACCCTGTACTGTGAAAAGTGAATACGTGTGTGAATTTATCATAAATCATTTTTGGTTTGGGGGCTGGTGAGAAGCTGCTATTATATGTTGTATTGGTGCAACAGACTCAAAAATCTTCCAAGTTCATCCAAAGCCATGCTAAGATTCACAAACTTTGGGCTGACCCTGGGCATAGTTTCAGGTAAATCTAGGTTAATGTACAGCTGTGTGTCAACCTCAATTCTGGCAGGGATCTTGGGTTCATTTGAACCTGGAAGTCAATGGAAAACTCCAGGTGCATACATAAGATGGTGTGTTTCACGCAAAGCCCTGCATACGAAAGCCACATGGCTATCTGCTGTTCTAAACTTTATGTGAAGCTATCCTGCCAACGCCCCCATTGAGAGGTAAAGACATGAAGTGTTCCACCCACACAGTATTGCTGCTCACCTTTTGGAGTGGGGGAGTTTTCTGTAATTTCACGCAACAGTCACCAGTCCGCGTAATCTCAATTTCTAAAGCTTCTGAGTATGTTGCAAAATGATAGTTGAGCTGAGTTACAAGTGCTGCCAAACAATGTGCCATCAAGTAAGGGGAATGGCTAAGGAGGTGATGGTGATTTGTCAGCAGTTTGAACCCTAGGGGGCACATTCTGGTCTCACCAGTGTTACCCTCAGGAAATCCACAGACTGCTGAGGATTTACACCCATGGAACAGATACCAGCATATGTCTGGTGTTTCTTCCAGACAGCAAATCGCTTGCCAGCCACCAGCATGTAATAAAGTCAACAGAAAAATACGAAGTTAAATTAAAACCTATTAGAAGCACAGCTCATGGAAGATGTCCAAGTCTCACAAAAGTGGAGAGGGAAGACTATTATTATTTTTTTTAATCTTGCTTGCCTCCTGAGGGAATATAACACAATGCACCTTATTTCAGGCTACCCTTGAAAACTACTTGCAGAACACAGCTCCATGACTACTCAAGGGCCTTTGAAAGTCCCTGCCTGTGAGTGTGCTTCAGGGACTTCCTATTAGTATGTAAAGCTTTAAACAATAGAGCACCAGCCTACCCCAGGGACTGGCAGCTGCCCTATGTCCTTTCATGAAAATTAAGATTGGCACTGGAGCTGCTAATGGTCCCACAGCACAAGTCTCTGTTGAGGGCCCATGAATCTAGAGTGCTCTCCTCCTGGAGATAGGCCAAACTACATCTTCAGTGTCTTTCAGGGCAAGGCTCTAATGGCTAATACATAACTGGAAGGTTATTTGATGTTCTGTTGTCACCAGGTAACTATACAAAGGTCAGTGTTGTGTTCAAGGGATCATTCATTTCATATTCTTTCACCACAAGGCATTTCCCTGGCAGCATCTCACTCTTCATCACACAGACAGATGCGCACACATACACACACTCTCTCTTTCTTCCCACATCGGGGGCATTAATCTGGGGATCTTTCTTCCCCATGTGCCTTTTGGAGGTAGAGATCTAAAGCCTGGTTCTGGGTTTTAATCCTGTGCCAAATGCAGTGAGAGCAAAGCAGGGTGCTTATGATTTTCAGTTCCCCAATTCTGAGGGCAGCTGAAGACCCATTTGGCCCTCCGTGTAGGAGCAGCTTCAAGGCTGCTCTAACTTCTTCCCAGCTACCCAAGGCTCCAAGAGAAGCTGTCCTGAAAGCCAGGAAAATAGCCAATGTAGAGGGACACTCTGGCCATACCCCCTTTCCTCTAACTACACCCCAGTACCAACAGCTGTGAAGAGCACCCAGCGAATCCCATTACCAAAGGGGAATTCTCAGCTGGCCACATGAACCAGTTTTATGGTTCCTTGACACCAGCAGAGCAGCACAAATAGGTTGTGGTGTAATAGAAAATCAGGCCCTTAAAATCAAGGCCTCTCTGAAATGGAATACACAAGGTACGCTTAGAGAAACAGCCCTGAGGGAAGCTCATGGAAAAAGTCATTATGGATAAAGAGTGCACAACAAAATGGCAGGAAGTCACAGGGAAGGAAGGCCTTGCTCCTGAATGGTGTCATTGGTCAGCATTACCGTGAACACCCTAAGGAAGAGTTTATCTGTGATGAACTGGGGAGTGGGGGGAAAAGAGAAATAGAAACTGATGGGATGGAACAGAAATGCAAAGCACAACATTGTTTGGCAGGTGAGTGTTGTGGCCTGTGGATGACCGAAACATGAGTAGAGGAGTCATCTTTTTTTCTGCAGTAATATTTGAAGGTTATCGCTTTGCCCCGCCCCCCACCCCCCCAAAGGGCTACACCGAAGGGCATGTCTGGGGGTGAGCCTCCCAGCCTGGGTCCATGGTGTTAGCAGGGCTCACACTAGCCCTTAAAAATAGCTGGCTAAATGGCGCTTTGATCTTGCCGATCAGGCTGGAGCTTGGCCTCTCAACCCCAACTTGCCTCCTGCCCAGGCTTCAGAGCCTGAGCCGCAACATCTATTTTTAGAGCACTAGTGTGAGGACCCCGAGCTGGGAGGCTTGCTCCCAGATGCAGTGTAGACACACCCTTAGTGGTACAACCGAACCACTAAAAGGGATTAATTGTTGTACTCTGTCATTTGGAACGATTGTGCATAGGAGAAAACTTTTGTCACACATGTTTCTCCGGGCAGGTCTGCACTAGAAGCCCTGCAGTGGTGCAGTTGCATCAATGCAGTTTTAGCGCATCTGGTGAAGACGCTGTATGCTGATGGGAGAGCGCTCCCCCATTGGCATAATTACTCCACCTCTGCGAGAGGCAGAAGCTACGTTGGCAGGAGAGTGTCTCCCACTGACATAGCGCTGATGTGGACAGCGCTTAGGTCACTGTAACTTGCATCACTCAGGGGGGGACGGGGGTGTCTTTTTCACACCCCTGAGCGACATGTTACATCCACTTAAGCGGCAATGTAGACCTGCCCTCACGAGTCACAAACCTACACTGAGTTGCTGTCCTTGAAATACATGGAAGTAAATACAGAAGTTGAAAACATATTGACTACCATAAACCTGGAAACGCTAGTGCTTGCTCTTCCCAAATTTCCTTCTCTAACCAAAGTCTTCATCCTCTGCTTAGGTGTGCACCGTCCTTCCCAAACATCGGATATCCCTGGTTTCTACTCCCTCCCTCCCGGCGGGGTTGGACAGATAACACCTTCTATGGGATGGTAAGTGTCGACAGTTTATCCAGGCCTCTGAAGGCAAATTGAGCATTGCTCTTACTCCTGCATCCTAAGCTGCAACAAGGTCCATTTACTCTCTAGGTCTTTGATCCACTCTAAATAGTATAATTTACTGGTGCACAATTTGTTTACCAAGCACTTTGCAAACATTATCTCTTTAATCTTCACAATTGCCCCACCTGTGAACTTACAAGGCCTAATTTCTCCTGTTCCCTGTGAGGTTGGCAAGTCGGAAGCTGAGACACAAAGAAGCTAAGGTATTTGCCCCAGGTGACTCAGCATCAGAGCTGGGACTGGGACTCTGGGCCACTAGCTAAATATCTCTCTGCGTTCCCCGATGCCTTTCACCATAGTATATGACGTTGTGCAGGGATTTAAAATAAAAAATTGAGAGCTGTTTGGGTCAGCAGTCCATTGCCCATCCTGCTTTAGGTGTAATCAAGGCGTCTCATTTTGAGTGGGATGCTAGTTCTGTCCTGCTCTGGATTTAGCCATGGGCTGTTATTTGTGAACATATCAAACTTCTGTGTCCTAGCTCGGTGTTCAATCCACCAGAAGCTGCCTTTTAAAAAGGGTAAGACAGAGAAAAAAAAACACAGTATGGCAGAGAACTGTTTCAGCGGAGTACAAAGAATGCTTGCTCACCCAACGGCAGGATGTGTGCATCCTGATATTATCCAACCCATGATCTCTTGGAATCCTGCATTCTGAGTGGCCCAGAGACGTATTTAAATCCTTTACTCCTTATTAATTAATGTTTTATTTTTGTCATTAAAACTGAGTGACTTTGAGTACACATAGGAACCAGATCTGGTGAGTCAGGAGATGCCATTTTTGCGTGATCTCTGTTCAGATTGGATTAACATTTGCAATGAGTGCCATCATCAGTCCCTGGTAAAGTATTGAAATTGTAGAGACATGAGGCAAGATTTACAGTGGTAGGGTGAGTTTGGGAACATACATCACTGACCACTGGCATGGGGGAATCTTAAGGTGAAATAATCAATGGACAGCAGGTGCAAATAATTTCCTGCCTGTTTCTCTTGCAAAAACCCAGTATAGACATGTAGATATCTTAAAATGGGAGAGGTGAAACAATTAAAGAACAATGTGAAATGTTAACTAGATTTTTGTTTATTGTTAGTGTTCCAAATATTTAACCACAAAGAAACGGAGACTGAGGCCAGACTAGATTTATGTTTGGCTGTGAGGAGATTAAATTTTGCTTTCCATCCTAAACCTGCTGCTCTTGGCCCATGGTTTAACTCCTTGGACAATGTGATTCCTCCTCAGGACAGACAAAATAGAAACTGCAGGAATGACTGTGCTGTAACGTGGAAAAAAAAATGTTGGTGGAAAAAGCACCTACTTTGCCAAATGCACAGCTGGGAGAATGGGAAACGGTTAAAGGCAGCCTAGTTACATGGAAAAAATCTATTTTTCAAAATGTTTGTTTGTTGGTCAGACAGGAAATCATTCTGCTGACAACCACTACAGCATCTGGCAGGATTTGGCGCCTTTAACCAAGTTAGTCAGACAAGTTCATTAATGACTAATGAAACCGATATGGTAAAATGACAAATAGAAAAACAGCCCTGTGGATCAGAGAGCAGACCATTCAATTAGCACGTTTCAAATAGGAAATGTATGTAATATAGACTTTTCTTTTTTTAAATGGTTGTCTGCTTGAAATTTACAAAATTCCATAAAATCACTTCCCAAGGTTCCTAGTCCTAAACTTTAGTTTGATGCTTATTTTTCAAGATCTGTTGTGAACAGAAACATGGTAAGCTCCAGTAAGTTTCAAGCTTGGCTTCCCCCAGAGGAATGATGGGCCTCCCAAAGGGAGTTCCCAGTCAGAACTGCCTCTGAGTTATGTAAATGATGAAATTCTGCATTTGAGAAGTGCCTAGAAGCAAAGATGGTTCTCAGCTGTGTCCGCTTAGACCTTCTGCATGTGTTTACAACCCAAATGTTGTATATCTCCAGAGCCACAAGTTATCAGCTCTCCCCACGCACTTCAGGGAAATGTAACTGATATTTTCAAAGGTTTCATCAAAGAGATAGGTCACCAGTTTATGCTTTTACAGAGGTTTGGTGCTTAAACAGTGTGGAAACTAATTGTGTAGGAGAAGAAACCCTACAGAAACTCCTTGTGCCAATAACTAGTGCTGTGGTATGTGGACAGTTCTTAAGGTTCACTGTTCTGGAATGAAGCTGACTTCAAACGCAAAGCGGTCTTAATACAGGAAGCAGCTTTTCCTTAGCAAGCTGTCTAACAAGAGTTCAGCAGAAATGGTCTTTGTTCCTGCTGAGCATTTTGAGAAGAGGAGCTGTAATAACTCTCTCTTTAATTAGCTGGGATGACAGTCAGGAACTTCGAATAAAAATGAATTATAGTCCAGTCCAGTGAGTTTGATCGCTGGAGCCTGACAACACACCTTAACCAAGAGCCTTGTAAATTGTGTCATTTGCACAGCTCACCAGCTGAACTATGCACCAGGTTTGCTGGTGTCTCATTATTATGTTTTCCTCTTTGTCTTTAAGAGCTGTTCTCTCATCATGGGGTGATAAAATCTTTAATTGTACATTCCCAGGGATCATGGATTGGTTTTGCAATTGAATTAATTTGCATGTCAAAATCACTTTGGATAAAGGCTTGAGTGCCATGATCCTTTTATATTCGGATATCTTGGCCTCTAGAGTAATGAATGTCACTTCTGGATTAACTTTGAATGTTTTCTCGCCCCTGGGGCAGGAATGTTAAACTTCAAAGGTTGTTTAGGTTTCCTGATATATTGTAGCGCTTGGCTGTTTGTTGATATGTTTATACACTACTAACTTCTAAGCAGTGTGAGAGGAATTTTTGTCTGGCAGGTTGTAAACAGAGCAGGCCAGTTCTCAACCACGTGCACTAACTTTAATACACACAGAGCTTTTTAGATTTCATCAAGCTGAGACACAGTAATTCACTGAGTGGCATAAGCAAAAACCTTATTCTTTCAGGTTTAGGGGCTAAGTACCATGATTCTACAGTTATGGCTCTTCAGATCAGGGACTGTGATTACCTCTGTCTGAACAGCACCAGGCAAAAGGCAATCCCAGTCCTTTTCAGGACATCTGGATGCTTTGGTGATATAATAATTAATAATAATGGACCTCATTTTCAGAAGAGTGGGAAATCAGTTGGAGCTGTTAATGCAGAGCACATCTGCCAATCATGTTCAGTAATAATGACTGAGGCAGCACTTCTGTTCTAAATCCCCATTTTCTTGTGCTTAACAAAACTCTCATTTCAATTTCTTTGGGTTTGAAACTTCATGCCCAGCTTTAAGCCAGAGGTGAAATAATTTTTGGAAAGTGTGTAGAAAATCCATTCTGAGGGGGTATTTTAACCTTTCATTGATTAAGAACATTACTCAGACATTTGCACTCTAGTAACTCCAAAATAGTTTCAAATTCCAAACCTGGCACATACATTCCGTACTCAGAACGGTGTAAGTGTTACTTCATTTGACGAAATATGGCCTGACCCTCAGCCAGTGTAAATCAGCCTATCTCCATTGAAGTCAGAGTCTTCAGTTGAATTCAATGGAGCTACACCAATTTACACCGCTTGAGCGTTTGTCTCCTACTTTTGAAATCAGATTAAACGGTATAATG